GGGGTCAGCCTTCAGCAGCCTAGTACTGGTAACACACTTGGTGAAACTTCTTCACGCCAAATTGACAATTCAAGGCCTAGTCCATTGTTCAGTTGTGGAGGAGTGTAGCTATTTGTTCTAGGTGGATGTTCAACCTTAACGGGTCTCCACTAAAAATATTGGTATATCAAAACAAAGTTTGGAACAGAGGACAACACCATGGGCCTTTGGGATCTGGTGGGGGATTGCTGAATATTAGTTGGGCTACATGCCCATTTAACAATTTCAGAAAATCCCTAAGGGCCCATGCTGTCAATTGAGTGGTGGGAAGTTTAGTCCCACATGGCTAGTTGAGATAGGTGTACACCAACTTATAAGGTGAGCTCTTCTTCCACTAGTATGAGTTGGTGTGAAGGAAGGAGAGGTGTTCCACACGCGCTCCTCCACCACACCACGCCATGGCGCGCGCGCGCCGCGGGTTGCGGGTCGCGGGAATGAGCCGAGCCGATGCAATGTTTTGCTGGTCAAAATTGGAGAGTCCATTACAGACACAAAATGAATGTGAGATGTCATATTCATTGCGGAAATTAAAACGTCCATAATAAATGCGTTTTTATTGTGGAGATGGAAACGTCTGTAATTAAACATGTTTTTATGGAGATGAAACGTCTGTAATTAAATACATTTTTATGGAGATGAAACATCTGTAATTAAACGCGTTTTATTGCTGGACCGTTCTCTTACCTGACTGACTATATATATGAGGCATCGCAGCTCAGCTCCATGCGCTTCACACCCCACTACTCCCTGGTCATTCCTTTCACTGCTGCTGCCCTCGGTGATCCCATCCCGTCTACCGCGTACACGGCTGACGGGAGAGCAGGCCTCTGAAACCCCGCTTCTCCAGATCTTGTACGGGAGAGAGGCGATTAGGTTTTTGGAGAGCGTCTCCTACGCGACTGCTCGCCTTGGTTCAACTACTTCATCTACATCGACTACTTCTATGTCACCTTCGTCTTCACCATGAGCACTGACTCCGATCATGCGGCTGCCGAGAAGGCTGTTGCGGACAAGAGGATTGCAGACGAGGCCGACGCCTCCGCTGCTGCTATGGCCGACTAGCATACTGGAGGGTATAACACATTTACACCGCTCCTGTTTACTTTCATGTGTGCAGGACTAGTAGTTTGTATAGACGTTTCTACTATCTGCCTAGTACGTGCGTACATCATCAAAATTCAGTATGTCATTAGCACTCCCTATGTCATGTTCATAATTTATTATTGGATTAAATTAGTCGAACAATTGCTTAATTTCTCAACACAAACCTCCCGAGTCCCCTATGGAAGGGAGGGATTCGAATTCGCTAAATCTCCTTGAGCTGAATTTCCTCATCAAAGAAACGTCTCCTTCCTCCTCCCGTCGGCGCCGCCGCAGATCCGCCCCGCCTCCGATGGCCTTTGGCCTATGGAGGTGCGGAGGATCTCGGCCCCCCGCCGGCGGGAGGGACCCCGTTCTTGTTTTTGCTAGGTTGAACGTCTTGGTTGGGGCTGTTTGGCGGCGGTGATGTCCCTCCGTAGCAATAATGTCTCCCACGTCCTATCTCCGTCCCGATGGTGCGAATAGCGTTGTCAGAGGATGTGTGGAGGTGTGTCTCCGTCGGATCTCATGGGATTCGGTCGGTGCTGGTCTTCGGTGGATCTCTTTGGATCCAGTTTTTGTTTGTCTTCGTTCGTGTGGTTCCAGGTTTGATCTTTCCAATCTACAACTCTCTTCATCGGCGATGGTTGCTGCTCCGGTGTGTTGGTCCTTTGGGGCCTTAGCACGACGACTTCCCGACTGTCTACTACAACAAGGTTTGCCCGGCTCCGGTGATGGAGGGGTGATAGACGGCGACGCGCCTTCGGCTCGCTCCAGTGCTTGTAGTCGTCGCTAGGTGGTCCATAGACCTAGTTGTAATTTTTATTACCTCTTGTGTTCTCTGTACTGCCATGATTGATGAATAGATTGAAAATTTCTCTCGCAAAAAAAAAAGAATTTTCAAAACTTTTTTGTTTTGTTTCTCGAAGGCCAAAAGAAGAGCATCCTATTCCTCGGTCTCATTAGATCTAGCAACCCATTTCTTTTCAGCGTTAAACCCTTGATGTTCTAGTTTTTTTAATCTGTTATTGTTCATTGCATGAAATGTAACTGAGACTTTGACTTATGGAATTAGCACAACTCAAAAATACTGGCATCACTCAACTTGTGAGTGACACTTCGAACAATCAATACCCGGATCTGCATAACATTCCAATGATTGTTACATCTATAAAATTTTACTTGGTAGATGTACGCACAATATTAGAGCGGTGATCATACGCTAACGTTGTTGCCATAGATCACAACCCAGTAACTTGCAAATTGTGCACCACAACGACAAAAGAACTTACACGAGATCAATTGTTTTAAATTTTCGACTTTTGTAATGAATGAGCATGAGCTGGAAGATTCTATCTTTCTGGTGCTACTCGAGCCAGAAGAGACTCTCCACATGCAATGCACCTGCGTGACTCTGTCCATTAGATTTTTTTTTTTGATAAAAAGAGCTACCTCTTCGATTTCATTTACTCCCTCCGTTCATTTTTATAAGTCATTTCAGACAAGTAAAATTGAGTTGTTTTGCATAATATTTGAAACATCTACAAAGCCTTATAAAAATAAACAGAGGGAGTGGCAAAAATCACAGCGTGTCTTACAGATGACGAGACGACAACTGTGTCCATTAGATGAGATCTGCGAAAGAGAACTAATGCCGCTTGCTCCAGCTGTTGAATTTCTATTTCTATAATAACATCGATTATTTCAATCTTGTACTGAGCAGTGCCGAGTCAGAACAGCTAAGCAAGTAAGAGTATTTTTGCTGTGTCGTCCGTTGTGCATGTGAACGCCAATTGGAGAAACAAAGAATAGTCTTGCTATACACACGATTTTTTTCGGACGATTCTAAGACAACAGGTTAAATCAGCCACACATGCGCATGATTGACTTTGCAAGGGCCGCTGGATTGTTCCTGCGTCCGCAGGTCGGCCAGCACATGTCGTCCGTGGAGCAATTTCGAACAAAGAATGCGTGAGCAAGCAGAGAGCAGCTAATTGTACTGTAGTTAAATTAAGGTGCATGCACGCTGCGAAAAACTATTCTACTATACTGTCACTGTCGTTTCCTGCGAAATGCATAATATATTAATCTGCATTTGTTAATTTCAACGCATGCAGCATCCATGTCAGCAAGGTCTCCTATGGATGAGTGGAGTAAAGTCTATTTTAAACCCTGAATTTGTAGAGGTGGTCTGAATCAGACCCTGAACTCTGAATCCCTAAAGTCGACACCCTGTATTCAGTGATCCCGGCCAATTCAAACCCTAACTCTATTTGTCACACCAGGAAAAGGACAATCCCAGCCGGGATAACCTACTTCTCTCACTGACTATTCAGACCCACATGTCATATCCATCTTCTTCCCCTTTTCTATCTGTCTCACCTCACGACAGATCTGTTAAAAAAGCCTGACTACATAACGAAACGAGCACGACCAACGTGTGCACGCTTGCTCTAATCCGGCACCGGCCGCGGTAGCTAGTAAGGTGGCTGAGCAGGAGCCATTGTGCTTGTGCGGCTTTGACCAGAGAAGAGCCTCGACAAAGAAAGGGGAGGAGCGCCAATGACGGGCAGCGTGGTAGCAGGTTGCGCCTGTGGCCGGAGTGGAACGCAGGGGGCGTGGACTGCAGGTCGATCTCGACGTTGACGTGTGGGTCCTGGGGAGGCGAGTAGGCTGGCACTGGAGCGCCGTGGAGGCCGATGTCGCGGCCTCGGCGAGGAACAGGTCCTGGAGCACGGCGGTCGGCGCCAGTAAGTCGTTGTTGGTGTACGTATCAGCTTTCAAGGTCAGGTCCTGGAGTACGCGGGCGCTTGAGCTGGCGCCGGTGTTTGCTGTTCGGTCGATTTCCTCGCTACATATACATACAAACTACCCGTAGTGCCTAAGCAGCTTGATCGATTTCCTAGGCAGGCAACGCACGCACTCGTACGTAGCTAGCTTTGCACTAGCCAGCTACACGCGCATACACGCCTGGGCGCAGGTAGGTTGACCTCGCCGGAGCACACGCGACACGGCCAACATTGTCGCCATTTGTCGTGAAACGGGTGTGTTGCAGTTCAGGTCCCCGTCTCACCGCTGCGGACCTGCGGTTATATCATGGCTAATGCAAAGCTTGCGCGCCAGAGGAGACCTGCTACAGCCGCAACCTCCTAGGACCAGCATGACCTGGCTTTTCTTTTCAAAACAATGGAGATATTATACGGGGAAGAGAAAGGAAGGAGAAGAGAGATTTGGGCCAACATAGTCAGCTAGAGTAGTGTGTGATCCTGACGGGGATTGCCTTTTTCCCTGTGTGCCAAACAACATCGAACAGGCTTAGGGTTAAGATTGACCGGGATCACTGAATACAGGGCGTGGACTTCAGGGATTTAGAGTTCAGGGTTTGATTCCGACCGGCTCTACAAATTCAAGGTTTAAAATAGACTTCATTCGGGTGAGTGAGTAGGAATATTCTTGCGCCCGATCAAAAGTAGGACCTGCCACCCGTGGCAATTGCGATGTTTTTATGGTAAGTTTAATGATGTGAGGATGACAACTTTAGTTGCAAGCATGACAAATTTATTTCTGGATGGCAAGTTTTAGTTTTTTTTGGATAACAACTTTAATCATAAAAAATATCAGGCCCAGATTGTTTCGTGTCGTGTGACATTTATCATTTGGGTGAACGTAATCTCTTGACGTGATTATGCATGGAACGGAGACTCAACGGCATCAAGGGCTGGATAGTCATAGTTCTACCAAAGATTTCCCACTGGATTTTCCACGTTCATCTAAAAATATCAAGCACACAGATACAGTCTACAGATGACACCTTTTTCTCGAGAAAAATCTTAAACAAACACAAGTCAAAGAATTTCTACTCACAGCTAAGCTAATCCCGTTCACAACTTGGTCTTGAACGGCACATAGTTCTTGAGCGACTGGGTGATCCCCTGGATGGACGCGACGGTGACGGCCACGGTTACCGCGAAGCACGCGAAGCTGAGGGTCTGCAGAGCCACCCACTTCCCGGAGTACTTCTTCATCTTGCTCTGCGAGATGTACATCTCCACGGGGAAGTAGACGGTGAGCGGCCAGAAGCCGAGCGCGCCGAGCAGGCCGAGGATGTCGTTGAAGAATGGCAGCGAGATGGCGAGCACCGTGCTCACGATCACGAACGCCGTCCTCCACACCAGCCGGAACATGTTGAGGCTGAACTTGCCCGAGAAGGGGTGGTACTGCCGGACGACGAACTCCGAGTCGGGCCACCGCCCCGCCGCCCAGCTCTCCACGGCGGCGTAGATGGGCTGGCAGTAGACCTGGTAGGCGCCGACGAGGTGCACCACGATGCAGACGTTGGCGAAGTCGATGAGCCAGTAGGGCTCGTAGAAGCCGAAGCCGGTGAGCATGTTCCCCGGCGCGTCGTTGCCGAAGGCCGAGTAGCCGAGGCAGCCGCAGAGCATGTAGAAGGCCGTGGTGGTGGAGACCCCCATCAGGTTCGCCTTCCTCATCGTCTTGTTCTCCGCCGGTGGCGCCTTCACCGTGTCCTGCAGCATCAGTTTCCACATAGATAGACGCCATTAGTGACCGTAACTTATGGGTGCAAACGTGTATGTAATATGCACTGAATCTTGTGACATTCATACCTGGATTTCTATAAGAACCATGGAGTATGAGTAGGCGAATGCGATGTTGCCGAGCGCTTGCAATGTCAGCCATATCTTCTGGGCCGAAGTGACGTCGACCCCAATTTGAGTGCCACCGATGGTTGTCTTGCCCGTAGGACCTGCCAATTGCCAATTAGATCGAACATGCAGACACAAAGTTACTCTTGGTGGGAAGGAAGGTTCTTGATCCTACCTGTTATGGTCTGTGCCAAGGAGAGGCCGACGCCGATGGTGGCGTAGGAGAAGGACATGACGGCGGCGAGGATGGACAGCCAGGCCATCTCGTGGAGGTTGGGGAGCTGGGAGAAGACGATCTGGGAGATCCCGAACACGACCATGTACATGGTGGTGTACACCCCGCAGTCGGCCGAGTGGCCTTTGCTGTGGAAGCAGTTGGCCTTGTACAAAGCCCTGTTGGATCATCCCCCCCAAAACCACAAAACAGTGAGATCAACTGATCATCATAAACGGCATAGTACCATGAATTGACTTAACAGTGCATCAGAGCGAGGTCGTCTGACTTACGCGGCACTGATGGATGCTGTAATGGTGTACCCGATCGCAGTCCCAACCAGATTGACGTACTGACAGAGGCCGCAAAACCACACCTGCCCTTTACCTACACACATGATCGAGCAGGTAGACAAACAAGATGATGTAAACATTGCCTGAACTCGCGAAGAATTTAATGGCGCGCTCACGCAAGAGGCATGTGGTGGAGGGGGCGCGTACCTAGGAGGGACCCGACGGCCTCCATGTAGGTGTAGTTCCTCTTGCCGGTGACGGCGTCCTCGCTGCGGTAGCAGTCGCCGAGGAGCACGGAGGTGTAGTAGGTGATGATGGCGAAGAGCAGGAGCGTGACCGGGCCGGCGACCCAGCCCAGCTGCGCCACGGACCAGGGCAGCGACAGCACGCCGGAGCCGATCACCGCCGTGATCACGTGCGCGCTCGCCGTCCACACCGTCCCTGCCCAACCAACCCGCGGCCGGCTCAGTCAACAAAGTCAAAGATTGGTCTGCCCCAAGCCCGGGACGCATGGCGTCAGGGAGAGCGAGAGAGGGAGGGAGATGGATCGGTTTGGCTTGCCTGTCCGCCTGGGCTTGCCGTCGTCGTCGAGGGAGTCGTCGGCGGCGACGACCCTCCGCCGAGGGTCGCCCGCCGGCGCAGGAAGCCCCCCGATCTCGACATCGCCGCCGCCTACCCGGGCCATCGCCTACGCTGGACTGGTGCTCTGCGTGCGAACAGCTAGCTAGCGATCGATGCGCCCGGCGGTCTTATAACGCAGCGAGTTACTCCTTTAATTCTTCTTGGATGGAATCGGCCCAGTTGCCCAAACCGGCTGGCATATATGGTTTCCGCCGAATCCAGACAGATTCACAGGAGCCGTGTCCAACTTGGCTATTTGTAGGTTCGGAACCTGCTCGTGATCAACGTTAGTTACACGAATTCGTTTTAAAAATTTGATGATTGGTTGGTTAATCCCGGAGTTCCGTTGTTATTCTAGTTGTTAAGTTTTTCTTCTGAAAAGATTATAGTTGTTAGTTAGTTAGGGCCACGCGGCCCACGCCGTCGGGTCTCTGAGCCGTGTGGGGAACTCAACCAAAAAGATCGATGCAGTTTTTGCTGGTTTCAGATTTAAAAGATCAGAACGATCAGATGGCTTGATTATATCCGAAGGGTGAAAAAAATAGAAAAGATAACTGCATCTGACTGTTCTGATGTGTTGACAAAAATGCTGGCTCAACGGAGAAGATGCCATGTCTCCATCACAGAGTCCGCGGGCTACATCGTCTCGTCTGCTTGCTTAGCTCATGAACAACCGCTTGGAGGAGGAAGAGTTGACTGCGCCAACGCGCGGCCGCTGTCTGCGATGTGAACACAGACCGGCTGACAGCAAGTACTATTACAATTAACTACTCTTGGTGTACGTAGCGTCGCTAATCACGCGCTCTCCAAATGCATCCACACTGTTCGATGCAAAAAAAAAAAAAATTGCATCCACACTCATGTTGCTCTGCACTGACTTTGCTATTTGCCGACATATTTAGTTGCGCGTTTGTGCTTGTATCGACTGTATGTATTTTAATTATACCGAGTCAACAAAATTCACTCTCTATCGAAAAAATACGCCACACAAATCAAAGCCGGGTACCGCTATTCTATATCAATATAAAAGGACTCAACAGCCATCGAATTGTGTCCATTCAACAACCTATCTCTACTCTTAAAAGAGAAGTTTATTTTTGTTTGATTTTTTCGTTCGGTTTTTTTGTCTCACCTCCTGACACCCCCTCTCACTGGATTTTCTCCTCTCATTAAAAAAACAAATCTCACTAAAGGGTGAGATCTTATTTCGTGCTTGCTTTGGCAGGTGCTACTATCACCTAAATATCTTCCATAATACTAAGCTCCCTAGTTTTAAAGAGGCTACATTCAATTGAGATCATCAATTAGAATTGGGTCATCCGATTTCGACCAGATCAACAATTTCTCACGGCTTCCTCGTTCAGTTCTTTTATATTATACACTATGCTTCCTATTTTTTGAAGACTCAAAATTAATTGAGATATTCAATTTAAAAATTGTGTCATTTGATTTTGGCCAGATCAACAATTTCACAAACTCTCCCATTCAATTCTTTTAATTCACTATATTCCTTAATATTGAAATTTAATTTTGGATTTAGTTTACAATTTTGATTGGGCCAAAGAATTTTCAAATTAATCTACAGCAACTAGCCTATAAAAATATATCAATACAACGCACCCTCCCACCACCAAGAAGAAAGAAACGCCACCACATGATATTATCTATACCAATATAAAAAGACCCAACGGGGCAGATCCAATTAATCTCGGTCATCAAATCATGTCAATGTAACGACCTAAACTGCTTCAATGTAGAGCGCTCAACACGTTTAGCGTGCAGTTAATTTCATGCCAAATATAATGCTAATCACATACTAACACATAAATAATATCCTACTTAATATCCGCATGCACTCAATATACTTTCAAATTAACGTGCATTGCACGTACACATTGACTAGTAACACCAATATAGTATATGCAACCATCGACACAGAAATTTTCCACATAAGTATATGTTGGTCAACGGATAAATCAACACATTATAAATCAAAACGAGAAATCTTATGGTACAGTTTTTGTTAGTATCAGATTTAAAATATTAGAATGATCGGATGACTTGATTATATCTACAAAGAGTAAAAAAAAAAAGATAGATGAGTACATTTGACTGGTCTGATACGTTGACAAAATGCTGGTTCAAACGGAGAAGATGCGGCCCACCATATACTGGCATGCATGCCATGTCACCATCACAGAGTCCGCGGGCTACATCATCTACAGGACTTTGGGAAATCCGGCCTTACACGCCCACGTGCGCGTCCGCCCGTCGGTCCGTAGGCCAACTCCATCGCGCGATTCCCAAACAGATATCCGTTTTGTTTGGATTTTGTCTGTTTAGGTAGGGTAATGGAGTCATGTCTGACTGTGTCCAACGCGCGGCCGCATCCCGGCCGCATCCTGTCCGTGTACTTTTTTTTGTAAGCCCTTAACTTTTTTTTTCATCATTTATTTTTGGTATATAGGAATACATTACCAAATAGAAAAGTAAGACCAAAGAAAACAAGAACCACAAGAATACATTTTAGAAGATATCCAACTTCCATAACTGTTCCTGTAAATTCGATTAGTGCCTTCTCGATGCATTCATTGTTTATCTGCGGAGGAGGCTCGATCTTACGTGCTTTTTTCTTCTTCGAGTCTAAAGAAGTAGATGTTGCTTCCTCGCATCTAGTCTAGTGTCTAGCCTCTAATCTAGCAACAAGTGCACTTCTCTCATCTACAACCTCTATGCTAGCTAAAAGTGCACGAATATCTACTAAATTGCGCTATATCAATATATCGATGTACTCTTCTTCTCAATACCAAAACTTGCATCCATGCTACATAATAAAATTTGAAGTTAGCACAACTAGTCAAATGTAGAGCACAAACCGAAACTAAAAAGAACACATACCCCCTCGTTTAAGCACTTGATGAACACCCATCCGGGATGTTCCGGCATTGTAGACACGCGGCGCACGATCTTCTTTGGGTAGTGGTCGCACTTAATAAGTGGCAACGATGCGCGGACGAGCTTTTGGGCTAGCACCATGCCCGGCCGACCGCCGACGGACCGCCGACGGTGCAGATCCAAGTGGCTAGAGAAGGAGCCACTGCCTGCATGTGGCCTTATGGCCCTGCCAGGGCCTTCCAGCCCTGTGTCCGGCCTGTCCATGGCGTGACGCGGCCTCCCACAGCTGGGAGAGCTCAAGACCGACCGGATGCGCCCCAAATCCGGCCGACGGGTGCGCAAATCAGGTAGCCGTGGTTGGGTAGCTCGGGGGCGCCGAGTGGAAGGGGTTAGGCGAGCGCGCGTCCGAACTGCACGACTGCAATGGCAGCGGCGGCGGTTGCGAGGGGAAGAGTGTGGAAGAGTGGAGAAGAGTGGAGGGGGTGCGGCTGGAGGGAGGGAGGGGGCGGATAGAAAAAGGCGTCCCTGTGCCACCGACGGGCGGGTCAGGGGAGGACACGCGCAGACGGCCCGCGCGTCCGCGTGCTGTCCGTTTCACCCTAAAAGCGGCGCAAACTTGGGCCAGAGATGGGTAGAAAGCGGACAGAAAACGGACAAAAGTCCGTTTGCGCCCGCGCGCTGGGCCGTCTGGTTTGTCCTTTTTACCTCAAAAGGATGCGCGGACACGATGGGGTCGCGCGGTGGAATTGGCCTTATATATTGCGCCGCGTATTCACATACCACAAATGTAATTCATGCACATCGATCATATGATACAATTTTTTTGAATTCAACGGTTCAAAACAAAGCAAAGCAAATCAAAGTTCAACAAATCGGACATGTCAAAATGAAATCAATGTTCAAGCGTGACGAATGACCTCAGATCACTGGCCGGGCGCCATCCATGGCGCCTTCTCCGACCCAGGTGGATTGCGCCATGCTTGTCGTGCTTCGCCTGCGTCCGAGACTGCCTACTCCGCCTGCATTTGGGCTGCCTCCTCCGCCTGTATCCTGGCTGCATGATCCGTTGTTGCCGCAGCAGCCGCCCTCGCCGCCTCGTACTCTCTACGGTCGTTGATCTCATTCTTCTTGTCCGGAAGCCACCTTTTTGCATGCTCATCCAAAACGGTTTTGTCCGCCAACATGATCTTCGTATCCTCAGCGTCCCGTGCGAGTTGCAACATCTCCTTCTCAAGCTCAATCTCGTCAAATGTCTTGGCCTTCTCGAGTTCCCATTTGATCACCGCCTCTTACTTCTCCAACTCGATCTTCTCCCTCTCAATTTCCAGCTTCTTCTTTACCCTCTTCAGGTCCCACTCCACCCTCTCCTTTTGCATATCCAACATGAGCTTGCACCTCTCCTCTTTCTTGTTCTCCCTTGCCGAAAAAATGCCTGTCCATTCCCATGACTTGTCGGTTATCCTTTGGCACGGTGGCTTTTCATTCGTAAATCGTCCAACCCAATTGATTGGTGGGAGCTTGAGCCATCATTTCTCTACTTGCCGGACTTGAATCGGACACAAGTTGTGTCCACTTCGGCTTGCCATTCAATATGATCCAACAATGGCTAAAAGCAAACAACTTCTTCTCTACCTCGTGATACAAAGTGGCCGCCACCGCCATCTAGCAAACAACATATGTATTAGCATGACAATGCAAACATAAGAAGCATATGCAATGACGACAAGGTGAAGCAATTGAGCTTACATGAGTTTCTACTTGAAGAAAATATGCCCTAGAGGCAATAATAAAGTTGTTATTTATATTTCCTTATATCATGATAAATGTTTATTATTCATGCTAGAATTGTATTAACCGGAAACTTAGTACATGTGTGAATACATAGACAAACAGAGTGTCCCTAGTATGCCTCTACTTGACTAGCTCGTTAATCAAAGATGGTTAAGTTTCCTAGCCATAGACATGTGTTGTCATTTGATGAATGGGATCACATCATTAGAGAATGATGTGATGGACAAGACCCATCCGTTAGCTTAGCATAATGGTCGTTTAGTTCTTCTGATATTGCTTTCTTCATGACTTATACATGTTCCTCAGACTATGTGATTATGCAACTCCCGAATACCGGAGGAACACCTTGTGTGCTATCAAATGTCACAACGTAACCGC